TGGGCTAGCAGGGGGCTGCGGGCCGGGATCGAGGGGCACCGGCAGAGCTGTGGGGGGCTGGGCTAGCAGGGGGCAGCGGGTCAGGATTGAGGGGCACCGGCAGAGCTGTGGGGGGCTGGGCTAGCAGGGGGCTGCGGGCCGGGATCGAGGGGCTCTGTCAGAGCTGGCAGGAGGCTAGCCGGGGGGGAGGCCATGGAAGGCCAGGATCTGGGGCCAGCAGGTGAAGTGAGTGAAGTGCCCTGGGGCTGGCAGAGCAGCGGCCGTGGGGCTGAGTGGGGGGGACTCGTCCCGTCTCTTGGCCGGGGCTGTGCAGGTCGACCCTCCCCGCAGCGGCGGCCCAGGGTCTCACGGTGCCGCCCCCTCATGGCCGCCTGCCCCGCAGGTGGAGAACGAGTATGGGAGCTACTCCGCCTGCGACTACGACTACCTGCGTCACCTGCTGGCCGCCTTCCGCGCCCGGCTGGGGCCCGACGTGCTGCTCTTCACCACCGACGGCAACAGCGCCGCCGAGCTGCGGTGCGGCACCCTGCAGGGGCTCTACGCCACCGTGGACTTCGGGCCAGGTGCCCCTGGGCGGGGGCTGGCTCGGGCAGGATGGGGGGGCGCTGGCTTAACTGGGGGGAGCAGGATGGCGAGGGGGGCTGGCTCAGACGAGGGGCAGGACGGCAGGGGGGAGGCCTGGCTCGGATGTGTGGGCGGGACAGAGGAGGGGCTGGCTCAGATGGGGGGCAGGACGGTGTGGGGGTGGAGGGAAGGGGGGCTGGCAGCCAGCCCGATGGGGGCACGGGACCCTGCACTGACCTGCCCCCTTCTGTCCCCCAGGCCCCAACGTCACAGCCGCGTTTGCCCCTCAGCGACTCTATGAACCCAAGGGACCTCTGGTGAGAGTGGGCCCCCGTGGGCCGTGGGGGGCAGGTGCTTGGGGGGTTGGTTGTGGCAGGAGCTCTGTGCTCAGAAGGGCTCTGGGGGATGTCGCTCTGGGGCATGGACAGGCTCTGTGGGGGGGCGTAGGGGGCTCCGTGGGGCACAGGGGGTCT